AAGGACCATTTAAATTTGTCAGAGTCATCTTGTTTAATTCTACCCTCCAATAGACTATCTCTACTGACAATGTAATATTAGATATTTGCACTTCTATTAGATGTTCATCGTAACCTTTTACAAAGAATTGTTTTTTAAGGGTCTTCACTTGCTCCATATAATTCTCCAATTTGGAGCAATTACATCTCAACCTGATGAATTGGCTCCGGGGTACTGATTTTAACCATGCCTTATGATGACAACTATCAATTGGAATAAAAGAATTACGATCAGTGGACTTAGAAAATGTTCTGGTGGACACTTGGTTGTTGTTCACCATAATTTTTAAATACAAAAATTGTATGGAATTGTCCGTTCCTTTACACATTTCCCTTAGCACCATCAACCTTTTTTTTCTGGAAGATTAAGGACTTTAGCATTCAGAGATGTCACCCTCTGGGAAACATGGTTTGGAAGAAGGCCCATGCCTGCTTCCAAACAGAACTACTCGCCATCACCTGGGTGCAATTTGCAAAGTTATTCTGAAGGGGTGAAAAAAAAAAATAAGGGGAGGGGGAGGAAGGAACAAAGGGAAGAGAGAAAAAGGAAGTATATAGAAGTCATATCAGGTAAAGTAGAAAAGAAAAGTGAGTCGGTGGGTTGGAATTAAAAATTCCAATTTACAAATTTAAGCCGAATCAAGTCAGCCTGACCTAGGCTGGGCTGTGTTCAGAGGCAGTGTGAAATTAAATGAATAGAACTGAGACAGTGAAAAAAGGCCACCTTGATTTGTAGGGAGCTAGAGATCATTAACTTAAGTCAGTGAACCCCGTTCATGGTTCATATGATTGTAGTAACTAGAGAAAATCCCTCAGAGCAGTTCCTTGCATACCCGATTCAAAAAGGTTGGTAAAGAGAATATACATAAGATTTATATCTAAAAAGGTGCACAAGACTTCATTCATAAACCCCCCTATGGATAACCAGCATGGATAAAAAAATCTATTTAGTCCATGACTTAACTCAAGAAAAAAAAGCATATAAGAGTCACAGTTAAAATATAAATAGGATACGTGAAAATGTATGCTGGTAGTTTTAGGGTAAGGGAGCACCCAGTTGTTAATATGATCACACACTGTGTGGTGTCAAAGTATAGTCTTAAAAATCTGAGAGGCTCTCTCCCCCAATATTTGGTTGGAAGGACTGATCTGTAAAAAATAATGCATAGCTATAAATTACAATACTGTATATACATGAGCTCAGCCCTAGTAGCTAAAAACGTTCTTGCCAGTATAAATTTAGTGCACGCCTAAAGAAGATAGTGAGACACCCCACTGACTGGTGGAGTTTAGAAATATGTTTGGCTAAGTATGGTCCAACCCCCCTTGTCCAGCATACATACCAAGCATGAGTGTAAGCAATCATATATGGTTATAGGACTCATGTAAAGTTCTGTCTTACATGCAAAGCTTCATGTAACAAGACAAAACCCACAAATCAGCTCAAGTGAAGTAAAGGAGTCCCAAAAAAAGAAAAGAGAGTAAAGGAAAACATGATACCAAAAAAAACAAAAATCGCATTGGGGATAACAATAGAGAGATTGAAAATGCATGTTGGTAATATACGCTTCATCCCATTGGACATAACGGTGATGGGAGTAGTGCAGAACACATTACAAATGATCAGTAAAAATGTAAAGAAGAATTAGAGTCCACAGAAAGAAAACAACATGCAAAAAGAACATGCAAAAATAAAAAGAGTATGGGTCATACACTGTTCCGTTAATTCTAGATGTATGGTGTCATACACTGTTCCGTTAATTCTAGATGTATGGTGTCATACACTGTTCCATTAATTCTAGATGCTTAGCAACTGTCTCCTCAAAATTGCCATACCTTGCAGTGTAACCAGGCAAAAGTAAAATAGTTAGTTTGGCTTTCAAATAGTCTCATAACATGTAAAACAGTCAAACAAAAAAAGAAGGGCTCATGTCCAGCCTAAATATGAAGGAGCTGCGATGCAAGTGGGAACAAGAGACGCACAAGGCTATTACATGCTGTCAGGGGGGTTCTGCTGTGCACGTGGTGTGCCTTCTGGTCTTCACTGGATGTAAGGTGTTGAAGGCATTTTACATTTAGTGGTACCTTGTTCTTGCATCATAGATAATAGCTCTGCTATCTCCAGGATCTTAAGGGTTTCAAAGAACTGAGGCAGGTCTTCTGGTATCTGAAGACTAAATGACTCATGTGTGGCAGTGAGACCAAAAGGAAAATGCCATCTATAAGCGATATGCCTTTCCTGCAGGGCCTGAAGAATCTCAGGGAACCCTTGAAAAAAAATTCAGATCTACAACTTGTGGAACACTGGATCTAGCTGTAAATTAACAATTAACAAACACTATTAAATAATAGAATTAATATTTTAAAAAACTTACCTCCTTAATGTGAAACTTAGGCTTGCTTTTTTTTGCATAGTTGCTCAATTCTGGGTTGAACTTGAGATAAGCACGCACTTATTCCATCTTCAACTAAAATTTTGTTCCATGCTCTTACACAGAAAAAAACTTGCTCACACATGTAGGAAGTAGAAAACTGCAGCAAAACACTCATTGCCTTTCTGTAAATGGCAGGATACTCTTATTTAACTGAAATCCAGAATTTGTCCAGGGACATATTAAACCTCCTCCTGAGAGTATGATCAGACTGCAGATCACAAATTTCTTCCAGAAGACTCAGAGAAAGGGCTCCTCACCCAATCTTAAATTTGTGTTGAAAGAGAAGGAAAATAATATTCAATTTTGTTCTGCAATACATCTAGGTGGATTTAATTAGACTTGCTGGCTTCCTTCCTCTCTTCCAAGGTCAAGTAAACATCTCCAGATTTCCTTTAGCAACATGGCTTTTTCCAAAGATTCAATTTCCTTTTGAAGCCAAGCATCTTGTCAGGATATTTTCTCCAGAACCTTGTGGAGACCTTTTCTTCTAATTAAAAATGTCAGCTATGTATGCAAGTTTCTGCAGCCATTCTACATCTTCAAAGCACTGAACAAAATACGACCTACTAACTTCTTGACAGTACTCCTTTAGTTCTTCTTTCAGCTCAGACACTTGTGGAGAACTTGTCCTTTGCTAAGCCACCTGATTTCTGTATGTGCAGGAGCTTTATAAGGTCCTTGTCCATGCTTTCACACATTTTATTAAACATTTTTGAATGAACTTGTCATTGTTTAATAAAGTTCTCCATTTTTGCTGCATCATCCAGCATACCTTTCAGTTCAGCTCCAAGAATTTTGGACATAAGCACTTCTCTATGAATAAAGCAGTGTGGTGTGAAAATATTAGGGTTTCCCTTTTTTACAAGTGATGAAAATCCTTTCATGGAGCCAGCCGTTGATGGGGCGCCATCGATATAGATTCTAAAACAACTCTTGCAAGACAGGCCTTGTGATTCCAGATAGGCTGACAAAATATTAAATATATCTTGAACCTTGATTGTTTCAGGCAGCTCTTTGCAGCAGGAAAAGATTTTTTGAATTTCACTACTATTTTCAAATTGTACAAATACTACAAGATGGTGTACATTGGTGATATTGGTGGACTCGGTGGACTTTTTTTTTCAGGATATCACACAAGACCTCTTCCATATCATGTGACATATCATCATATGCTGAGTTATTGTACTACCTGAGAGAGGAACCTTTTCAATTTCTGCTCAATTTCAATTTCTGCTCAATTTCAATTGCTGCTCCTAGCATGTGATTCACTATAATTTTAAATGGTGGTATTAGGTTTTCACCAGCTGTGTGACTTTTTCTTTTCTGGGCAATAATTTCTGCCACCAAATAGCTTGCTTCCTGTGCCTTTTTATTAATTGAGACTTTTTTTAAAGAAAGCTGTAATTTGCTTGCTTTGAGATTTCAATAGCTGTTTGAAATAATCGGCGCCTGTAGATACCAAATGGTTTGTAGTAAACTGTATTTTCAATGCTGGAGCCATTGCTGTTATTGTAGGTTGTTTGCCACAGATAAGGCACAATGGAATGGTACAATTTGGGTCACCTCTCCAATGAAAACCCATAGTTAGGTAACTGTCATTGTAAAGATGGACTTCTTGGGGGTAAAGTATTGTGCTAGTGAACGGAAAAGGATCACAATGTTGTAATTCCTCCTCACTAGCCTTACCAGAATTTTTGTGTAGTAGATGAAGGTCTCCTCTTGTACCTCACTCCTCCTCCTTACAAAATTCCACATTGGACCATGAGCAATGTTGTTTAAAACAACTAATGACCAGCATGCTTAGTGGTTATCTGTTTTGGTTTAATGAATGTTTTTATGTTAAGTTGAATTGTTAATAAAAGGCTGTGATGGCCATTTTAACTCCATTCGTAGTGTGGTCTCCTTTATTTACATAAGTAATGTAAAAAGGGGGGGCTAAGTTTGGGGAGTATGGTCTAGTAGCCATTAGTTGGAGTTGGGGACATCTGTTCTGCACTAGTCATGCAAAAGTTACTCTGATTATTGCACAAATCGGTTTCTCAGTGCAAAACTTACTCTGTATTGTTGCTCAATGCAAAAATGTAAACACAGTTGAGAAACTCTGGCATACAGTAACCAATGAGAATATTTGTACTGGCAACAGAGTAGGCATGATACATTCTGATTGGTTGCAATCACTTTTACATAATGCCTTGTGCTGGTAAATTGCAAATTGTAACCTCAGTCATCTGATATATCAGGTCTCATTCGCACAATAGCAGAGATGTGAGGTTATCTATTCCCAAAGTATCAGACCATTAGGGCTAAAAAATGCTTCAAAGTACTCTGGGAATTTTTTTTTTCTCCTATGCAGTGGGACTGTGCACACAATGCCTTGGTTAACTGCTCGTTTTGTCCAGGGGTGCACCAAATGGCTATACTTACCCAATCCTTTGATCTTTCAGAAAACAGCACTCTCCCACACCCAGTGGTGGACTGTTCCTGCCCTCCTCATGTTCAGAGCTGGTCTATGGGCATGATGATGTCAGGAACCAGGGGTGGACTGACCATTCGAAAACTCGGGCACTGCCCGAGGGCCCGGAGTCAGTAAGGGGCCCCATGAGATGCCCCTGGTAGCTTTCATAGGCTTTTTTGGGTGTGGTTTGAATGTGGGCAAGGACACAGGGGCCCCATGATCCCTATTGCCCTGGGGCCCCATGAGTTGTCAGTCCGCCCCTGTCAGGAACAGTCCATGCACAAGAACTCAGGGGCTGGTCTTGTGCTTGGAGGATTGGCAGATTAGGTAAGCATATCTCTGCTCTCCTCATCCCTAAGAAAAATTAAGCAGTTAACCCATGCAGGGGAAAAAAGATTGCTAGAGTTTTTTTTTTCAAGTTTATCTGCATCTGTCTTTGCAAGGACCCAAAGAAAACAATTGTTTTCTATGTGCCCTGTTCACATCAAAACATCGGTATCATCTGGGCATGCATCTGCTCAGAAATGTGCAACATATATGCAGTTTTCTGCTCAGAAAAAGAAACTCCTATGATATCTACATACATTGGGGTGTGAACAGGGCACACAGAAAACAACTATTTTCTTTGTGTCTTTGTAGAGACAGGTGCAGAAAAGTTCATGTTTCTGCACATGGTGTCAGAGGCCACTGTACAGACATGACAAACATCTGCCCAGCCAGGAAGAACATTTCCAGACACTTCTTAGACAGATACCCCTCCTTCCCCAGAGAGGGGGAGCAGAGAGTGGGAGCACATGGCTGGATGAGACTGAATGTAGAAGGAGGTGAGATCATAATAGCTTTATGTACAGTTATAGCGTAATAATAAAAAGCTAGCATCGTCTCACCTCCTGCTACATTCAGTCTGATCCAGCTGAATGCTCCCTCTCTCTGCAGTCTGCATCACTTCTGCCACACATTGGATGTCACCTCCTTCTTCAGTCATGTGCTCCCTCTCTCTGCTTCTCCCCAGCCTGTATTCACTGCTGTCATATCATACAGAGGATCTCACCTCTGACTCAACCATGTGCTCCAGGCTTTCTGCCCCTCCCCCCCCCACACTCTGCATCTCTAAGAGGGCTCACCTCCCATCAAGCCATGTGCTCTAATGCCTCTCTGCCTTCCTTCCCCCTCGCACTTTGCAATACTGCAGCTGTAACAGGGTCTCGCCTCCCATCCAGCCATGTGTTCCAGCACTTCTCTGCCCCCATCCCTCTCACACTCTTCAATATGGCGGCTGTAACAGGAGCTTGCCTCCCATCCAACTATGTGCTCCATCGCCTCTCTGACCTTCCCCCTCGCACTTTGCAATACTGCAGCTGTAACAGGGTCTCGCCTCCCATCCAGCCGTGTGTTCCAGCACTTCTCTGCCCCCATCCCTCTCACACTCTTCAATATGGTGGCTGCAACAGGAGCTCGCCTCCCATCCAACTATGTGCTCCATCGCCTCTCTGCCCCCTTCCCCCTCGCACTTTGCAACACTGCAGCTGTAACAGGGTCTCGCCTCCCATCCAGCCGTGTGTTCCAGCACTTCTCTGCCCCCATCCCTCTCACACTCTTCAATATGGCGGCTCTAACAGGAGCTCACCTCCCATCCAACTATGTGCTCCATCGCCTCTCTGCCCCCTTCCCCCTCGCACTTTGCAATACTGCAGCTGTAACAGGGTCTTGCCTCCCATCCAGCCATGTGTTCCAGCACTTCTCTGCCCCCACCCCTCTCACACTCTTCAATATGGCGGCTCTAACAGGAGCTCACCTCCCATCCAACTATGTGCTCCATCGCCTCTCTGCCCCCTTCCCCCTCGCACTTTGCAATACTGCAGCTGTAACAGGGTCTTGCCTCCCATCCAGCCATGTGTTCCAGCACTTCTCTGCCCCCATCCCTCTCACACTCTTCAATATGGCGGCTGTAACAGGAGCTCACCTCCCATCCAACTATGTGCTCCATCGCCTCTCTGCTCCCTTCCCTCTTGCACTCTGCAATACTGCAGATGTAACAGGATCTCACCTCCCAATCCAGCTATGTGCTTCAGCAGCTCTCTGCCTGTCCCTCCCTCCTCCTCCCCCGCATCACCCCTTGCATTCTGTTACACCACCGCAAAGCTCTCAACTTCCAATCCAGTCCAATGCCAGTCACCTGTTCCAGCTCTGTGCTTAGTGCTCCCATAAAAAGATACCACTTCTATCTCCCGCTCTCTGCACTACTCCTGGCACAGCCTTCTGATTTTTAGGGGCCAAAACCATAGACATGACATCGGGTATCAATGTATGCTGACAATACTGACTGCCAGCGCATATTGAGAACAACATTAGGTGGTATACATCCTCCATAATTGTTTCATGGAACCCCCATTAAGAGACACTGTCTACGGCATTTGCTGGATCAAGTCTACCACAGAGTCTAATTCCATTCCTGCTTGCTTCTGAGCAGGTGTGGGAGACCTGCGAGACCCAGGCAGTGGGAAGGAAGCTGAGAAGAGGAGCTTGAGAGTCCGGCTGCTGCATATGAAAGATTGCCAGAATATTCTTCTTTAGGAGTGTGGTGTCTTGGAGTATGGTAAAGGGTGCCTGATTTTGCCCATAGAGCTCATGGTGAACAGGAAAAAGCTGGAAAAAAATCCCTCAGTCACAGCAGAGCTTCACACTTAGGCAGCCATTTTCGCTGAGCGCCAAGCCACTTCACATATATTAGATTTTTTATTGCTGTGGAGGATTCCTCCATTTTTGTGCCCAAGACACCTTACATGTCAGAGTGTCTTCATGCAAGAGAGTGAGTGGGAATCATCCAAATGGGAAATCGGACTGTAATCAATACCTGCCTGAGATGCTAATTCTTCCATACTCTATCCAAAGCTAAAATAAAATGTTTTGGCTGGAGCTGAACTTTACAGCTTGGAGGGAGGCAAGGATTATTAGAGTTTATGATTTGATATTCAGCTCCACATTAATGTAACGTCCCTAAATGTTGACATTTCTGATATTTTCATTTAAAACAGTGTGCACATTCTTTTGTTAAGGAGCCCTGTTTTTAAAGTTTGAAAATAAATGTATAACTCAGCCCCAGGGTTCTTATTTCATTTCTCTTTTATTTCAAAAATGTGTTTCCCTTTGATTAAAGCTACATCTGCAGCTTAATGTAGAGCTTGGGAAGCACATCTTAATTTCATAAATAAAATCAAGTCTGAGAAGGTTCATGCTTGAATACACGTTATCTCATGAAATAATAGTTTGGGAGACCTCAGTCACAAGCCTCACAAAGTGGCAAAGGACAACATAGGTAGAGCACACATTTCACCCCTTTCCTTCACCTAATTATGTTTGCATCTGCTACTTTTTGCCTCATATTTGGTACATTTTTCAGGCAATGCCCGACAATATTGGAAAGTTTTCATACTTGCTAATATAGTTTATTTCACAATTACTCTGTACCCCTTGCTTATCCAAATTGCAATCCGTAAACAAACCCAAATGAACTTTGTGACACAAGTGTTCCTAGTCACAAAATGATAAATAGCATTTAAAGCCCAACTCTGGGAAACTTTTAAATTTTCCCTCACAGTGGTCTGCACCCATAATGTTGGAATTAACTGCTGGTTTAGCCTATGGGAGAGGAGAATTGCCTGATTCTCCGCTCCCCGGCAGGCAGGCTCCCCCATGCTCCTGTAGTGGACTTTCCCTTAGCATGATCATGTACACTGGAGAGCTGTAGACCCTGCATTGGTCTTAATATCTGGATCGTAGACCACTGGAGCATAGGGGAGAAGACACTTCATAGACCAGTCTTGTAGCATAAAGGAGCAGAGGATAGATAAGGAAATCTTCTTTTCCGTGTTCTAGACAGCCCCCCTTCGAGGATTAATTTTAACGTTTTCCTGAGTTGGGCTTTAACCTCAAAACCTAATTTTACTCAATTTATGCACAAAATAAGGTCAATTTAGTTAGACAATCAAGTTATTTTAAGTTTTAAATGTTCTAAGGCCCATGACAATACACCAGGAAGCGAGATATTCTACCATATCTGTTTTCATATATCATTATCAAATTTCTTTTAAATACTCTATGATCTAAATATTTTGTGATACACACACATGCATTGTCTATTTTTCTCTTGTAGACAAAAGTAACCCAGTTAGGTTATGATTTAAATACCGTTTTTGTTAACATCAAAAATTGACTCTTAAGGTTTTCTATAAAAGAAGATAGCCTTTATAGACAATGCTTATAGATAGAAAGAATTTAGTCTCATGGATCTTTTAAACTTTGGTTGATAGTAAATACTAGCGTGGCACCAATATCAGTGCCACGAGTACCACGAGTACTTATAATTATGAAATTCTCAGATACTAAAATGGATATGTTCAAGTCTGCAGACTAACCACCATGTTTATGGAGAGAGATGCAGGAGAATGTCATGTGAGGGTGGCTAGATGTCTGACATCACACACATCAATCTGGGTGCGGCAGCGTGAGACGTGACATCTGGACCACAGAAGCTCTGTCAAGTGCTCCAATGCTACACCTACAGGGCAGTGGAAGGTGAGCTGGGTCTTATGTGTAAAAAATAAATGTTTCCAAGGGCAATGACTGATTTTATGTTTGCTGGCCTACCTCTACACCACCACACGGAAGAGCCACAGCAAATAAGTGTAATGAAATAAACAGTGTTAATAGTAATATTTAATTTGTGAATAAATATATATATTTATACACTGCTGGGCTGCTGCTAAATCACCATCATTGTCTTTTGAGTACTTGAGAAAAAGTATTGGTACTCGTGCTCGGTCTTAAAAAACTGGTATCTGTGCATCCCTAGTAGAAAAAAAAAACTGTGCAAAAAAAAAAAAAAGTAGAAAAAAAAAACAAAACTGTGCATCCCTAGTAGATACATAAACTAAAATGCCTAATATGTGAGAAATATCAACCCTCACAGTGGCAGCCCAACATTCAAAAACAAACAAGGAGGCAAATACCTATGCACCAAATAAGCCACTGGCCTAAAACCTAACTTTTATTAGCTTTACTTACAAAAAGGCACTATCCAACATAAACTGTGTGTGTTTAATACTCATACTGTAAGTGGAGGTTGAGGCTCTAACACACTTAGAAAGAAGCATCTCATCACTGTGGCTCCTTATTCTGGTAAGTTTATGTCTCTGCAAATTAACTCACAAAGCTATACAGCAGTGTTGCAGAGGCATAAGCACAAGGGGCTGGGGCTCTAAG